CTCTTGCTCTCGCTCTCGCTCTCGCTCTCGCGCTCTCTCTCTCTCACTTCGCACTCTCTCTCTCACACACACACACACGCGGCCCTAGCACCACACCCCCGCGCCAAGAACACCCTGCACAAACGCGTCAAACGCATTTACTCGCGTTCAGTGAACGCGCGTTCACCGCGTTCAAAAACGGAACGCGAAACGCGCGTTCAATGAACGCGCGGTAACACAGACGTAGTCCCCACACATGTGTCAGATCAGGTTGTCCTGATTCACGTGCGGTGTTCCGATACCAACTGTTGCATGCCCAGTTGGGCGATGTACATATATAACCGAGGATCCGCAATGTGATGAAAAGAACTGAATGGACAATGTAGTGCTAGTGAAATCTCAACAAGCAGTGTATATTCTGATACATACAAAAATGGTGCTTTATAGCGCAGTGGAAGACTTAGATACAAGTCCTGACCTGACTGGGACTGACCTCTCTCTACAAGACAACGTAGCAGGGATGCTAGAATACCAATGACTAGCCCAATCAATGTCGCAGTACAGACCGAACATACATCATCCTCATCACAAGGTGTGTAGGGGTGTGGCGCTACACACAAGAAGAATGCGCCAGGTCCAGTCCATACACAGACGAAGAGAAGGGAATCAGACGAAGAAGAAGGGGGAAAACGGGAATGTCATCAACACCAAGTCTTCGTTACAAGTCCCAGATAACCCCTCGTCAAATGTCTGAAGTCCAATGTCGAGTCTGGATCCAAATGTCGCCAAGCCCGCTCTCTCATAGCCTGCTGATGCAGTGAAGTCAGATAGCAAGAGGGTGCAAGGAAGATGGTGGACTGAGAAGAGGAAGAAGAACTCTCTCTCTCTCTCTCTTATGTGCCAGGTACTAACCTGTGAAGTTGGCGCTATGCTGCAGGTACCTCGAAGACGAAGCTGGAGCTATGGCGCATCAGGTAAGTCTCTCTGGCCTCCGCCCAATCTCTCTCTCTCTCTCTGGTACTAGCTCCTAATAGCGCCCAGCGCTGAAGACTACTGCTAAAGCTACTAGCGCCCAGCGCTGAAGACTACCGCTAGCACTACTACTACTCCTGCAGCACTCCTCCAGAGTGCTGCTCCCGAATCCTGAAGACTACCTCCTGCCTCCTGAACTGCACGTGAAGTGCCTGTGAAGTTCCTGTGACACTACTTAACTACCTGCAGCCTGCAGGGCGGGCCAGTCTTATATAGTGCTGGCCCTTCCAGGAGGCTGCTCTTGCCAATGCCAAAACGTGCCGGACCCTGGGGTTGAAGCTCAAACAAAGGTTGTCTTGAAAATAGGCCAAAAATGGCCTGAGCTAAAACCCTGGTCTGGTGCCTGAATTTCAGGGCAGGTCGATCTGATGAGGGCCTGAAAATGGGCCTCAGTTTCAGGCTGAAAACACTCAGGGCCGGAAAGACCCTGATTTAGCCTGAAACAACACAGGGCCAGTAGGCCCTTGTTTTCAGGCTTTCAGGCTGAAACGACACGGGGCCTGTAGGGCCTTGTTTTCAGGCTTTTGGCCTGAAAATGTCACGGGCCTGAAAGTGGCCCGTGCAGCCTGTTGCAGGCGCAGCATGTAACACATGCAACATGATGCAAGTACTCATGCGCGCAAGTACATATGCATGTATGTGTGGATGTGCGCACGCATGAATCACATGCCCTTGTGCAACCATCCACCCATGCATGGATGCAAGCATTGCATGCCTGATTGAACCATGCCTGTGTACATACACACACTACCATGTTCGCATCTATGCATGTGCACATGCACACTTGTGCGCACACATGCTGGTGCGCATGCAAGAATGCATGCACATGCATGTGTATGCATGCGCACTCACATGCATGTGTGCACCTGTGTGCACATGCATGCACTCACATGCATGTGCACATGTGCACGCACACATGAATGTGCACACATGCAGACGCACACACACATGCATGCTGCACAGGTGGCCATGCAAGCATGTTCACCGCACAGTTTCTCGCACACAGGTAGATGCACATAAAAAAGTACACAGACCCATGCATTCATGCACGTAGTTTGCACATGCACATTGGGTCACTGCCACACCCATGCACAAAGGCAACCACACCTGCATACATGCATGGTTTCCTCCATACGAGTGTGTGTGCATGCCTGTATGGATGCATTTGTGCATACTAGTGAATGGGTGTGCAATGTGTGTACGCAGGCATTTGTGCATACGAGTGCATGTGCACGTGCAGTCTGTTGCAGAAATGCATCTGTTTGCGTGTGCATGTACAGACACGCAAATACATACTGGAAAGCATGCATAGACAGATGCTAATGCACATGCGTGTTTGTATGCACATATGCATGCATACGGACACACACACAAACTCCCATGACATCCGGCATGCATGTCTGCAATTGTCCATGCCGATGCGCTCATGTTGCACAGGTACACACACACATGGGCACACAAACCTTGCATGCATGCGTACACACATGTATGCACTCCCACATGCACAAGTCCGTCTCTGCACATGTCCATACACGTCTGCACATGTGCACATGCATGTGTACGTGTGCACGTGCGCAAGCATGCGGGTGTGTGCACATGTGGCACATGCATGCGTGCGCATGCATGTGTGTGTGTGCACAGGCATCCACGTGCATGTGTATGCATGAGCATATTCACATCCATGCATTCGCATGCATCTGCGCATCCACACATGCACATGCATGCCCACTTCGCGAAAGGACAAAAATCCTGAATGCCGAATGAACGGAAGTCCTCAATGAGAAAAATATTATCCCCAGGGATAGAGAGTGCAAGAGTCTAGATATCTCTTCGCTTGACTGCCTCGTATCTGGTCGTCTTTGAAGAGTGAACACATCAAATGTCAGAAACAAATGCTGGTCACTCCTCGTACGAAACCAGGACTGCCCTCGACAACGACCAGTCTAAAAGTCCCACAGGTACGCAAGTGGGCTCAGCACACCCACGGTCTGGTTCTGGTTATACGGGTTCAACGAAAGCCGGTAGCTATTCAACTGGGGAAATTAGTAGATCCCCCCCGCAAGACCTTTGCATTAGCTTTGCCCCCAAACCAGGCCAGTAGTCTGCGAGAGTTGCCTTACGTGATCCGTACGTGGTGCTCAGGCATGTTGAAGATAAGAATGAACGTGATGCTCTTACACACATCATGGCACATAATTGTGCACTCTTCGGTCATGACAACATCTCTCAGGCAAAGAAGACCTAGTGCGGTGATGATGAAGTCTCATGCATTCACAATCTCCTCAGCAATGCCCACCAGCACGACGGCTGTAACAAACAGCAGGACCTCCCTTGGAGGCTTCCTTCCTCACACGATTCACAGGAAATCCGTCGTCCTGTCACTGGCCAAAGAAAAACTTCAGATCACACAAACACTACTTTCATTAGCTTCGGTCACACAAGACGTTCCCGAACTTCAGGACACGTGCCGTGGGGGGTCATCTTGTGATCAACGTGTTGCCAGTTGTCACAAATTCACAAAACTAATATATATGCGTCTAATTTTTCCCCTTTAAAGACTTGTAAACGCTTGGCAGAGCACCGCAAGCAGAGGTTGTATGGCTATGGCAGGTATTTGCAAAATGGTAGATCGTAAATGGTAGACCGTCGCTGTATCTTATGTTATATGTCATAATATTCACGATGGTCATTCACCATCCTTTCGTGCATGCATGCATGCATGCTAGCATGCGTGCATGCTTTGTTCCATGTGTGCAGGCATGCATACCTGTTCCATGACGCAGATCCTGCGCTGGTTCATGGATACTCGCGTGTTCAAGAAATCTTGCACAAGCCCATCCCATTTCGAAACAACGCAGGATTCCATGACATGAGGTACCAACCGGCGAATGCCCAGAGTCCAGCGCATTACCTTTGCACTCCGCGCCCACTGGTCTACAAACAGCCCGCGGACTCGCGGAGCAATCCGCGCCTGCTCGAGACCCCATCTTCCCGCGGACCCAACAACCCGGACCACAAACATTGTATATACTACGCTTGTCTACATTCCTCACGGACGTGTTTTCCCTTTTTGGTTTATTTGTTTTGTGTTGTGTTGGGTGGTGTAGAGGGAAAGAGTAGTAGTCTGCAACTACCGTCTACCGTCTTCCCCCGACCACAACGCACCCTCATTTTGACAGTATCTGGACGGAAAAAAAGTCTCTACACTCACTATCAGGGTGCGTTATGTTCAGAGGCAAACGGCGGACCGAACCTCCGGTAATGGGTACCTTCAATTCCCGACCTTATAAAATCGATCCCCACGCTCTCAGATTTCTTGATTGGCCATATATTAGACGCCAAGCGATCAACTGGCATCAGTCAACAAGTCTACTCTAAACATCTACCGTAGTGCATGGCATTCATAGCAAACTGGCTCTTATTCCACAAGTGTGTCCAGCCATAAAAAAATGAGGAATTCCGCGCACGGCATATCTGGTTTTTCCACAAAATTACGGACACGCATAATAAACTCCAGATACGGAGACAGAGAGACGGAGATACAGAGAGAGACACAGGCGGAACAGGAAAGAAAGAGAGGGGAGATATGCCAAAGAAACGAAACCAGGGGCAGTCAGAACGAAAAAGGGAGAGCAAATGAATTATGAAGGCTAACAAGAAATCGGACAGAGCCGATTCACACATACAGAGGCAGGCAAAAAAAAAAAAAATCGAAGGACGTCGACCTGGGTCTCGGGAATATGCCGAAGACAAAGTTCAGACGTTTTCGCTCAGCATATTTCCTTAGTTTACAGCAGCTCAACGAATCCACCTTCTGCTCAAGCAGAAACACAGATAGGAAGGCAGACAGACAGACAGACAGGCAGGCAGAAAGACAGACAGCGACAGACAGACAGCAAACAGAGACAGCAAACGGAAACGGGCAGGGGAATATGATGCGTACATTCATCATCGACATGTTTATCCCTTTTTGTTTGTATTTTTTCTTGTGTTGTGTTGTGTTGTGTACGGAGGAAGAAGGTAGTAGTCATAAACTACCGTCTACCGTGTCCCCGCTTCCCCTGAACACAACGCACCCTCATTATCTGGACAGAAAATTAACTGCATGGAGGGATTGCGGGCCCTTTTTCTATAAAATTACGGACACGCATAACTAACTCCAGTCACACAGACAGAGACGGAGACAGAGACACGTACGAACTACGGTACACAACCTTGTATTGACATTGCGTCGAGCTTACTACCGTCTTCCCCCGAACATAACACACCCTTAAAATGAACGTATACAAGTTATATTTCCGGCCAGATACAGCCAAAATGACGGTGCGTTGTGTTCGGGGGAAGACGGTACTCTTCAGTCGCTGCTTCTCAACAGATTGACGATCAGAAAGAACTTCAAAACAGTCCCAGCCGAATCTGTCCCCTTACAAACGAAATAGACATGGAGATTAATTGATGGCAGCAGGAAACAATCCGAGATACCTTGATTTATCTTGGCTATATTGTACCGGAAAAAGACTCGCCCAAGTTTCATCATCACCAGTTCCGAGCAGAAGCTCATCCCAGTACACAAAAGGCCCTTCTAACACACCAAGTGACATCCGGTGCCACGAATCATGCCAAGCCGACTACGATCACGCATCCGGTGCCACGAATCATGCCAAGCCGACTACGATCACGCAAACATCTCTCTCTCTCTCTCTCTCTCTCTCTCTCTCTCTCTCTCTCTCTCTCACTCCAGACAAACCACTCAGGTCCCAATCAAAAACATGTTAGGGGAAAGGGGAGGGCAAGCGGAGAGACTCCCGCAATACAACATTTCCAAACAAGTTTTCAAGCTCTCTCCATATTGGTTCCTTGTGAGAAATTAGGTGGGGCTTTACCCGGGCGACGCCTACTTTGCTATTGCTGCAACAATGAAGACCCGACTTTCCCCACAAAAGAGCGGGAGAGCACCAAGCGACTGACCATATGTCCCGACTTTCCCACTAAGCGGGAGAGCACCTAGCGACTGACCATATGTCCGGTTTTCCAAACAATGCCAACAAATGCATCTGTGAGGCTCCCTCAGAGCGTCTCATACATTCAAACTATGCCAAGAATGCATCTGTAAGGCTCCCTCAGAGCGTCTCAAATATTAGAAGGGGCGAGTCGCCGAGTTCGAGTCTCACAAGCCTCGCGTATAACGTTCGATCATATCGTATGAATGGTCTTCTACGGTCTAACTCATCATCATGTACGTGTGAGAACTCAGAAGAAGAATATCCATGAGCAGTTCCCCACTTTGCGACGAAAAAGCTTACGTCGGCGATGTCGCCCCCGCATTGTAACTTATAACTTCATAATATGCGCAAAAGTGAGGAAGAACTTGTTGCTGCACGAAGTGAGAAAAGACTCAAAACAAAAAGTCGAGTCCAGTTGGACAGAGTGTTCGTCCTCTAAAAGAGCGAAACAGACACACTAGAAGCCCCCAGGACCAGAACGCCACCGTCACACTAGAAATACCTGTCTCTTATACACATCTAGATGTGTATAAGAGACAGGTGTTTCGTCCTCTAAAAGAGCGAAACAGACACACTAGAAGCCCCCAGGACCAGAAGGCCACCGTCACACTAGAAAGACTTGAAGATGCCAATGAGCGTTGCAAAAGTTTCGATCCCAGCGTTCCATTCTGACGTGAGCTGATAGAAGACCACGAATGAAAAAAAAAGGAGCCCTTGAGTTAGATTTGGTTGGAAATCAAGAAGATATAGGTTGGCATCAAGAAGAAATAGGGTAGTAAGCAACGATGGGCTGGAGCGTCTCGATCGATACCCTGAAGTGGGACCCCACCACCGCAAAAAGTATTTCTGCTATGAAACGACCTGGACTCGTAAAGCGGCAAATGTAATTTTGCAACGAAACTTGGACCGTCACCCCGCCACTATTTTTGCTGTGAAATTACTGCGAAATTACTCCGAAATGACTGCGACATTACTCCGAAATCACTGCGAAATTACTGCGAAATTACCGCGAATGTGCTCTTTTCTGGAACTCACCCATAAATAGAACATGAAGATGATACGACGGCTTATTGGAAAGGAAAATCGCAGAGCGCGTTGAGGAACAGATGCCTATTACTTAGACCGGAGCGACGCCAGGATCTATAGCACTGAGCTTGGAGATGAGGTAGGCAGGCATGAGCACCAAGGCCAACAACAAGCCGGGCTGCATAGACCCCAGAGAAACATGGCTGGGGTAGTTGTCCCCCTGCAGACCGGCCTGCGGCAGATCCATGAATCCAATCTGTGCCACAAATATGAAGGCAGAAAACAGGGCGCCTGCCATGTTCGTACGGAACTCCGCCAGCGGAATGACGTTCATGGCCGCCGCGATGCCGAAAAACCCATAGCAAATGATCAGCACGGACACGGTGATGGTCATCTCAGGGTAAATTATTATATACGGCGACGCCACCTGAGGAACATGCAGTTCCCCCGTGGCCAGTCGGTCTATGACGATGCACCCCGCAACGAGCTGTGACAAACCGGCAAGAAGCACGAAGAAAGAGTAGCAATACAGTCGCCCCTTGTAGTAGCTCCGGGTGTACACTTCTCCGCTCTGTCGCATTTGAATGTGGTACAGCTGATGGGCGAAGAAAAATTGTCCACCCTGCAGTGCTCCGCAGTAGGCCACAGATCCAAAGATTCCCTGCAGCAACCACATCAGGCAACCCAGCGCCCCGCCAACACGTAACACACATTCACGAAAAAGTTTTAAGTCACAACAACTGTAACAACGGTCACACACTAAGGAACCACTTTCCAATTGTCGCCGAATTGCAAACGACCGTCTTCGTTTTGACTACGTCCGAGGTCGTATTACAGTCCAAGGTTTAAGGCTATCTATCCGTGCAGGCCCAACGATGTGCTGTTCCATGGATATTTATTGCGAAAAGAACGTCACATTCTTTTATATTTATTTATAATGTGGCCCGATGGACCACGGATCAGCCAAAAGGGCCGAGAAAGGTATGAATAAAGAACGTCACATTCTACTCGTTGGCTGACGACGGAATTGAAGAAAGACACTGACATTCCAGGGGTCTGGCTTGTCGTTCCCAACTTGCCGAACTGGGGAGCACCAACAAGTGCTCGTATCGTAAAGCTGTCAGAATGACAAAAACGGCAGCAAGCAAGAGCAGACAAAGGCGCCGGGACCTAGACACAACCATAGCAACCGTGGCAAGAAGGGTAAGTTTAAATAAAAAAAGGCGCGTCGCGGGTTTCACAGCAAAAATATTGGCGGGGCCCAAGTTTCGTTGCCAAAATGTCTTTCGTTGCAGCTCTAGAGGAGCTTGCAAAAAATATTTGCAGGCGCCGGGCGGGGTCCGGCTTTCCTTGCAAAAAAACACAATCTTTCGGACCCGTTCAACATTTCTGATGCGAAGCTTCGAAAACGCGCTGTTTCTGCAATTACCCCTGACAAGGGTGGAATGCATTACGAGGTAAATATACATAACCTATACATTCTCAAAAAGCTACGCACACGGAGAACAAGAACGGAATGCATTACTAGGTAAATATAGAGGACCTAAACATTCTCAAAAAGCTACCCACGAAACAACAACAACAACAACAACAACAACAACAACAAGATGAGAAGAGACATCAAGGAAGGAAAGAATGGCAACTCAAAAGCAGATAATAATAAAATGCAGCAGCAGCCAAGAACAGAAACAATGAACAGAGACATAGAACAAACCACAGCACGGCCGGAGCAGGACGCAGCCAGAGCGGGCAAACGGACAACCGAACAACCAGACATTGCATTGACAAAAAGATCGAACAAAGGAGTAACTCAGAGAGGAGATTGCAAGGTCAGCATTAGGAAAAAAACAGCGGCAAGAACAGTCTGAAGAGGCAGCCAGAGTAAACCAGAGCGTCGCCCGGGACTAATTGTTATGAAAAAAAAATAGACTGACAGGCAACTAGACCCGCAATTTGACGAAATCAAAATTTGACGAAATCACAGCGGCAAGAACAGCTCAGAGTCGGCAGCTAGAATACACCACAGCGTCC